TTTAAAAAATTTAAATGCTGGCCTCCGGCCTCCCGCCCAGCCCCGCCCGATTAAAGTTTTTAAAATCCTACAAACCCTTAAAATTTAATTGGCCGCCCAATTAAATTTAAGCATTCTTAAAGATTTAATGGCCCTTAAATGTTTTAAAATCCTTAAAACATAATTGGCCGCCCAATTAGATTTTACGGATTTTAAGGATTTTGCAAAATTTAAATGCCGGCCTCCGGCCTCCAGCCCAGCCCCCCTCCCCAATTAAATTCTTTAAAATCCGTAAAATTTAATTGGCCGCCCAAATACATTTTAAGCATTTTTAAAAACTTAATGGCCCTTAAATTTTTCAAATCCTCAAAATTTAATTGGCCGCCAGAATTTTAAGGATTTTAAGGAATTTACAAAATTTAAGTGCTGGCCTCCGGCCTCCAGCCCAGCCCCGCCCAACTAGATTTTTTTAAAACCTTAAAATCCTTAAAATTTAATTGGCCGCCCAAGTAAATTTTGAAGGTTTTTTAGGGTTTTAAGGGCCTTAAATTTTTTAAATCCTTAATATTTAATTGGCCGCCCAATTAAATTTTTAAGAATTTTAAGGATTTTAAGGATTTTAAAAAATTTAAATGCTGGCCTCCGGCCTCCAGCCCAGCCCCGCCCAATTAGATTTTCAAAATCCTTGAAATCTTGAAAATCTTTAAAGTTTAATAAGCCGCCCAATTAAATTTCAAGGATTTTAAGGGCCTTAAATTTTTTAAAATCCGTAAGATTTAGTTGGCCGCCCAATTAAATTTTAAGAATTTTAAGGGTTTTAAGGATTTAAAACATTTAAATGCTGGCCTCCGGCCTCCAGCCCAGCCCCGCCCAATTAAATTTTAAGGATTTTAAGAGCATTAAAATCCTTAAATCCTTAAAATGTAGTTGGGCGGCCAATTAAATTTTAAGAATTTTGAGGAATGTTAAGGATTTTAAAAAATCTAAGTGGCGGAACTGACCATTCCAACCCCACCCCCAGCCCTAGCCCAAAAGGCCACCCTGCTAATTGCAGTTGCCTAATAGCTAGATG